GCGGTGGGTTGTGGTGGTGGCGGTGGTGTGGTGGTTTGTGGTGGTGGTGGTGGGTTGTGTTGCTGGTAGTGGCGGTGGTTGTGACGGTGGTGGTGGTGGTGGTGGTGGAATGGTAGATTGTGGCCGTGGTGGTAGTGGTGGTGGGTTTATGTGGTGGTGGTGGTGATGGTGAGTTGTGGTGGTGGTGGTTGTTTTGGTGGTGCTGGCTGTGTTGTTGGTGGTGGTGGTGGTGGTGTGGTGGGTTGGTGGTGGTGGTGGTGGGTTGAGGCGGTGGTGGTGGTGGTAGTGGTGGTAATCGTCGCTGCGTCCCCGCCGTCGCCAGCGCCAGCGCAGGCGCTGCTGGCCACCGCCAGCGCCGGCGCCAGCGCCGGCGCCAGGGGGGGGGGGTTGAACACCCCCCCCTCCCTTGGGCTGCCTCTGGTCATCGTCGCTGCGTCCCCGCCGTCGGCGCTGCTGGCGGCCGCCAGCGCCGGCGCCAGCGCCGGCGCCAGCGCCGGCGCCATGGGGGGGGGGTTGAACCCCCCCCCGTCCCTTGGGAGGGGGGGGAGTTCGGGAGGGGGTTCGGGGGTGAGGGGAGTCCCCCTGGTTTTGATCGACGGTGCCGAGTGCTGGGGGGGGGGCCACCCCCCCCGTTCGAGACGCGCCGCCGAATGTTCCCAAGGCGAGCGCCCGTGAAACGCGCTCCCTCCGAGATGGCCGCGCTCCCTCATGCGTGCGTCTTCCTTTCTCCCTCCGTCAGGTCTCATGGGCATCGTTTCTGGATGGGCTGGTGGGGATAGTTTTTGTCGCAGCCGCAAGCGAAGGCGCAGGCGGCGTCAAAGGTCGACCCGGGCCACGGGCGGCTGGTGGAGATACTTTTTTGTTCGCGAGCGTCGCGGTCCAACCGCGCGCCGTCCAGAAACGAGGCAGCCCGGCCCCTGCTCCAGTCCCCGGGCCTCTCGCGGAGAGCCGCCCCCCCTCCCCCCAGAGAGCGCCGAGGCGGCCGCAGCCGGCCTGGTGCCCGACCATGCGGCGTCCGCGCGCTTGCGGGCGAAGGCCCAGGGATTCGGGAGGAGGAGGAGCTGGGTGGCACTCTGGGCTCCTCTCCTCCTCCTCCTCCTCCTCCTCCTCCTCTCCTCCTCCTCCTCCTCCTCCTCCTCCTCCTCCTCGCTCCTCCTCCTGCTCCTCCTCCTCCTCCTCCACGCTCCTCCTCCTCCTCCTCCTCCTCCTCCTCCTCCTCCTCCTGCTCCTCCTCCTCGCTCCTTCTCCTGCTCCTCCTCCTCGCTCCTCCTCCTCCTCCTCCTGTTCAATCTGTGTCTCGGTGCCGCCCTTGTGCTTCGGTGCCGTCGGCCGTCGGAGCTGGCTGCATGGTATCCGGTGGCAAATCATGGGAGCCTTGGATGGCCTCGCAATTTTGTCGTCACAGTACACTAGCGTCGATCTTTGCGTTTGGTGATCAATGGGACAGCGCCGATTCGGCGTCGATCAGCGTCGGGTCAGCGCCGATTGGCGTCGACTGGCGTCGACTGGCGCTGGTTCGCAAGCGCCAAGGCGATGTGGGAGGCTCCCATGAGTTGCCGCAGAAGGTGGCACAGTCAACCCGCAAAGGAAGGATGGGCAGCCTCCCCAAGGGTATACCCTTGCATCCTTGCCTCCTCGGCCCCTCTTCGGTCACTCTCGTTGGCCGCGCTCTGTTCGAGAAGCTTCGAAGAGGGCGTCCAAGGCCCTTGCATCCTCATCTCGCACCCTTCCTGCACGGGTTGACCCTGTGGTGGGCGCCTCCCTCCCCCCGGGGACAGGGCGTGGCCCAGGCTCGGGCCACGTCCGCGCGAGCGCCGCACCACCGCCAGCGCGCACGGGCGCCCACGGCCTCGCCCCCCCCCCTCCTGCCTCGACGCATGCTCCGCTCCGCCGTGCGGTCGCTCCTCTCTGCCCCCCTGCGGTCTTCTTCCGCCCTCCTCCAGCACAGGCTTGGAGCAGGGGCTTCGACCGCAACATTCATGTACCCCAGACTCGATTCACCCGTCGAGTCTGCGTGGTTTACACCTCGGGTCTGCGAGATGTGCGTGGACGATCTCCCGTAGATTTACGGAACAGTCTAGACACTTTTTTCGTAGACTCGATTGGGAAGTCAATGTTGGGACAAATCCGGTCTGTGGTCGACACCCTATTCGAAGGCTGGGAGGAGGGCCATCGAGGGCATCGGGGCAACGCATCGCTCGGCATTGCCCGCAGCTCGAAGCCCGAAGCTGGGTGGCACACTGCCAACTCGTACCGGCCCGACGCAGCAGCGCCGGCGCGGGCGCTCCATGCAACACGCCACCTGGGGCGCTCCAGGCAGAACGCCGGCTCTGGCCAAGCACGCTGCGGCGCGGCACGATATCCACCCATGCATGATCGTGTCGTAAGAAAATCAGGACGGGAGGTTTTTGGCCAATTTCCGCCTCGGGGGGCCCTCGCCGGGCCTCGGGACCGTCAACAAAAACGACTCGGGATGAACAGCTGGCCCTGGGAAAGGCGTCGGGACTTCCAGGGACGCCGTCCTGAAAACGTCAGGACGTCGCATGTCTGGGCAGTTCCCAGTCCCCAGGCTCCAATCGGAGAAGAGAAAGCGCAATAAACATAAACTTGTGGCGCCCCGCGCGGAGTTCTTGGATCCGCGCTGGGCGCCCCCTGGCGGCGCCTCCGGCGCCGCCCTTGGCGCGCTTCGCGCGCCAGGGAGGGGGGTCCAGCGCAGATCCGAGACATCCGCGCGGAGCGCCAAACGTTTCTGCTTATAATTTGCGTTTGCGTTTCTTCTAAACGTCCCGAGATTTTCCGAGCGTCCCGCCCAGCCAAGTGGAGCGACACGCTACCCGCGTGCAGGGCATAGCGTGTCGCTGGAGCCGCCGAAGCGACACGCTAAGCAAAAGTCCCCCACCGCAGCGCAAAAGAAAGTCTGGACAGCGGACTGATGTCATGGGCGACTCGGTCAGCCACGCGCAGAAGGGGTAGGGTGAGGGGAGGGTTTCTTAGAAGGAGGCTGCTTCTCGGAAGGCGCGGGCCTCATCTATAGATGTAGGGTTGGCGCCTTCTAAGAGGCAGCCTCCTTCTAATGAGCTTTCCCCCCTTCCCTGTTCACACTGTGCGCGCCGCCAGCACCACCGGGCGTGCCCATCATATGGGCGATCTCTCCGGAAGGGCGTCGACGCCGTCGGGCCCCCCCCAGGGGGGCACTTGATGCGTGGACTCTCGGGGGGGGGGGTCGAAGCCGCTGGGCCCCCCCCAGTGGTGGTTTGCATGGGCAGCAGGTGCAAAGCCTGCCCCTGGAACCCTCCCAAGGTAAGATTGAGGTTGAAGCAGTAGTAGGGGGCCTGAGTGGCCAGAACTATGAATCCCCAATGCCATCTCCCATACTGAAGCATTGATTTCGGGGGGGGGATCAGAATTAACCTCCAACGTGTAAGGGTTCGAAAAGATGGCCCATATACTGAAGCGCAGCTTCGTGCAAGCGCCGGCACGGGAGTGGAAGGCAGAACGCCGTCCAGGGCCTGTCAACGGCACAATCCACACGACAGGTGGAGCCGAGAGGCTTCTGGGGATCACCGAGGGCGGAGATCGTTCAAGCTTGAGCGGTTCACGCAGCGTCAGAAACTTGCGTCACTATCAGGGCAGTGGCTTACCGTACGAGTTATCCAAGGAGGCGGCTCCCAGGAAAAACACGACGCGCATGGCGTGGGCGTGGCCAGTCTGGGCTGGCGAGAGTTGAACACGCACTTGGCCGCATGTTGTTCCAGCTCTTGTACCAGTATGGCGGCCCTCGGCATGTCCGTCAACCGCATAGCCTCCGAACATCTTGCACGTGAATCCAGCCGTGTGTGCTTCCAGCCTCCTGATACATGCGCCAGGAGACGGATGGGGGTGGAAACAGGAGGAGGAAGAAGAGGAGGTGGAGGAGGAGGAAGAGGAGGAGGCGAAGGCGAAGGACTGATGAGACTTGCGGGGCTGGCGCTGCATGGCTTCGTGGCGGCTGCGAGAGGGGACCCTGGGCCCATCGTCCGTCAGATCAGGCTTCGGGCTCCCCACCAGCGCACGCGCCTCCACGGGCACGGGCCTTCTCTTGCCAACTCCGCTGGGCTGTGGGCGACCGCGCACAGGCTTCACCGAGGGTCAGGCCCGCTGCGAACGCGCGATCTGGCTGACGCAGCACGCCCGAGCGTCTGAACTCGATCGCTCGGCCACTGCCGCATTGACCAGCTCATCTTGGCCTGTGCCTCGTGACAGAAGCCAGGCGAAGGCTGGCAAACTCTTGGCTGCTAAAACGGAGCTCCAGGGAACTTGTTTTTTTGCTTCCGGGAAGCAGCCCGCTTACTCTATAGTGCGCTGAGTTTTCTTCCCAGTTGTTTCCCTTCCGGAAAGACCGTTTTAGCAGCCACGGATTTGCCAGCCGTCGCCCAGCTTCCGATTGTGTGCGTTGCTCCCAGACCTCCCACGCTTCGTCCATGTTCTCTCGAGCGCCTGGTGGGTCGAGGGAGCCTCGGCACCGCGCGCTCGGCGTTCTCCACGGGCGCCCCGCGATCGGTATCCTCCTCCTCCTCCTCCTCCTCCTCCTCCTCCTCCTCCTCCTCCTCCTCCTCTTAAGTCGGGCATGTCCCTCTACGGGAGGAATGTCCAAAAATAGTCAAACAGCAGTCTGGGAATAGTCACACAATAGTCTGTGGCTCTTTCTGACAATTCTTGAATACTTTTGGTATTCGGATTCGACAGAGGAGGAAGAGGAGGAGGAGGAGGTAAAGGGAGAGGGATGGTAGAAGGATGGAACTTTGCCCGTTGTCCAGGAAGCCCTCGTGAGGGGCAGGGGATTGCCTGTTCTCCATTGTGGTTGTTTCTCGCCCTGCTCCTCTTCGGTCTTCGTTCCTCCCCTGTCCGCCCTTCCCTTGCTGGCCAGTGTCGCTCCTCCTCCTCCTCCTCCTCGTCTTCGTCCTCCTCCGTAACCAGCTTGGCCCAAGGCTACAGGGGCAGTCCCTACATCCGCGGGTGCCATGGGTGCTGTTCCGGGTACGCAGTCCACGCCCGTCGTGGAGAGGCGGGTGCAGCTCGCAGCGACTCCCATCGGGCCGCCGTTGCCCCAGATGCTGCAGGCATACCACACGTCCGTCATCGTGGACGACATGGAGTTCTCCTTCAGCGGTAGGGGGATCGACCAGCTCCGCCCGACGCAGAGCCACATTCCCTTCGCGGGGAAGCCCACTGTGACCGATATGGGTTACACGAAGCTGCCAAGGAGGGAAATGGTCAAGTACCTGCGGCCTCACTTCATGCCAGGCACGTACGACCTCCTCAGGAAGAACTGCAACTCATTCACAGACTGCTGCCTGGCGTTCTTGCTCGACACGCGCCTCGACGAGAAGTACAGGACCATGGAGAAGATCGGTGCAGTGACAGACCAGCACATGGCGGTGGTGCGATTTTTCACGGGCGGCGGCTACCAGCCGAACCCGAGGTCCAAGGATTTCCAATCTTGCAGGGTGGTGGAGCGCATCCAGGAGAGGCGCGGGCCCGGATCCCCCCCGGCGGAGGACCGCGCCCTGGACAAGCCCTCCAGCAGGCCCGACACTCACCATGGAGGGAGGAAGAACCACCCCGACCCCAAATTTGGCGCTGATTGAACGGTCTTGGGCGTTGGCTAAGACAGGGCTTTGCCATGGTCCATTCCCCCCTTCTGTCTGGGCCTCCCGGATGGGGTCCGAGTAGACGGGGGTCGGAGGATCGCGCCGCATCGCCGATACATCGCCGATGCGGCTCGATGTGGAGGCCAATTTTCTCCACCGCGCCGACGGCGCCGATGCATCGCCGACGTCGCCGATACAGTACCGACGCATCGGCGATGCGCCGCCCTATGCATTGGTGATGCGGCGCGATCCTCCGACACCGTCTGCTCGGACCCCATCCAGGAGGCCTCCATGATGTGCGTTTACTAAGCGGAGTGCTTATTTTGCCCGTAGGAGGAGGAGGAAGAGGAGGAGGAGGAGGAGGAGGAGGAGGACGAGGACGAGGAGGAGTAAGAGGATGATAATGATGATGATGTTGTTGATGATGATGTTGTTGATGATGATGCTGAGGAGGATGAGGATGAGGATGAGGATGAGGATGAGGATGAGGATGAGGATGAGGATGAGGATGATGAGGAAGAGGACGAGGAGAAGGAGGAGGAGGAGGAGGAGGAGCAGCAGGGGGAGGAGGAGGAGGAGGAGAAGGAGGAGGAGGAGGAGCAGGCGGAGGAGGAGGAGGTGGTGGAGGAGGGGAGGGGTACTCATCATGATGGCGGTTCTTCTGCCCTCTGCACCGGATGGCGGAGCGCGCACGACAGAGGCGCGGGGCTGGCGAGAGGCGGTCCAAGTGACGAGCGGCGAGCGAGGGGCCTCGCGTCGCGCCCCTGGCTGGGCCCACGTGGACGTCCGCGCACGGGGTGCAGATGTCCAGACGATGACGATGACGATGACGACGACGACGATGACGATGTCATCGTCATCGTCATCGTCGATGGTTTTCCCTCACAGCTGCAAACGGAACGCCCCGCCATGCTTCTACCCGCGCTATAAATGGCCCACGCATTTCCCACGAGTGGCCCGCGGATGCACCGCTGATGGCCCACTAGTGGTCCCACGAATGGCCCCGCGAATTGCCCACTGATGGATTCTGCCCACCAGCGGCCCACGAATGCAATTGACCCACCGATGACCCACGAATGGCCCACTAGTGACCTGCCTATTATTTTCGCTTTCTTTGGCGTTGCGCGCTTGCAAAGACCAGTGCCACATCAGGCCGTCATTAGTGCCCCATTAGCGAGGCTCGAAGATACTGTGAGGCAGGGCCCTTCATGACATGTGCACCCCATGCCGCCGATGCGCGCCAGTCACGTCTGAGCCGCCCGCCCTCGGGGCTCACGCAGCAGGGGGTCTGCGCTAGCGTGGGCAAGCCGCTCCCGTCCGGCCGATTCCCCCTTTGTCCGCCCTCCGCTGTCGCGGGCTCGGAGCTACGTGTTCAGCGGCCGGCTGGGCTTCACGACGGGGCCCTGGCCGAGCCGGGTTTGTGCTGACCCGGGTCAGTGCGTGCCCGACGTCTGGTCCGTGTGTCTTCCCCGCCTGCACTTCCGCGAGGTGCGCCAACTGCTTTTTGAAGGCACATTTGCGCGGGAATTCGGAAGGTCGTGGGCGAAAAGCATGCCCGTGTCCGCGGCCTCGCCGCGGGTTGGGTCCCTGGGCCGCGACCCCGCGGATACGGATCGCTTTTTTCGCGGATGTCCCGCACGGGGCGTACCCGTACGACCGCGAATCCGCGGGACCGCGCCCCGGAGTCTAGACCGCGAGGGCGCAGATACGGATATGTTCGCCCTGCGTGGGAAGGGCGCGTGCTGCCCACAGGCTGCGCGCCAGCACGGCGGACGAGCGGCGAATTCTGTTAGGTGGCTGGCGCTCGCTCGCTCGGCGCCCCGGGCGCCCTGCCTGCCCCCATAGGGCCGAGATCCTCCCTCGCGTTGCATCTTCGGGGGGCCTGGCCTGCCCAGTGGCCTGCGGTCTTTTCTTATATTCCGACGTGGGCCCGACGCGGATACGACGTGGTTCGAGACGTATCCGACACGGATTCGGCAAGGGTTCCAGGCGTTCGACATGGAATCGACATGGGTGCGACACGGACGTCGGGCGCGATGAGACAGACGAGGTCCCCCAACGGTGCAACATAGCCTCTCCCTCAATTTTTGTTTCTCCTAGATCTCGAGGGCATGCCAACATGCACGCTCGGGTTTTGATACCGCGCACGCTGCAGGCCCAGATGCTGTGTAGAAGTGTTGCGGTGCCGCTACTGCCCGACCAGCGGCGGTGGCTGGGATTTTTTTCTCTGGGATGGGCGACGGTGAGGGTGGACTGCGAGGGTCCACAGAGCCGGAGTTCCCCACCCGGTCCGTGAGTCGATTGTTGCTTGCGCAACGGGAGATCCATGACCTTTGTGCATTGTTTCGGCCCTAATTGGTCGTCCTGAACCCCTGTGGGCATGCAGAGCTCATAGGGCTTAGTCCTTGTATGATGACCCATCGCGCCCGAGCGCCTGTCTTCTGTCGGCAGCCTTCTATTCACGCTGTTTAGGTGGCCAAGTATGGGAGCTTCTTTTCGACCCAAGGGGTTTCTCGAATTATGGTTTGATGAGATTGAGTGGGACTTGGTAGGGGCTCTCGTGGAATGCTGGTGGGCCCTAGTGGGATCTAGTGGGATCGCAAGTGGGATGTCGTTGGATCTAGTGGGCTTGGTGGGCGCCCCTCCTCCTCCTCCTCCTCCTCCTCCTCCTCCTCCTGCCCCTCCTCCTCCTCCTCCTCCTCCTCCTCCTCCTCCTCCTCCCCCTCCTCCTCCTCCTCCTCCTCCTCCTCCTCCTCCTCCTCCTCCTCCTCCTCCCCCTCCGCCTCCTCCTCCGCCTCCTCCTCACAAACTAGGCGCTCTGCGACTATCTGAGGCTCCCGTGCCCGGCCATCTGACGCTGCCGGGGCGGGCTGCCGAGGGCGCGCGCTGGTCCTCCCGGCGGCGCGGCTCGCTCCTGGCCTGCGCCCTCCCACCGACGCGAAGCCGAGCGGGCGCTGTGGAGTCCCCTTCCCATCAGTTGGGAAGCCGGCAGTTTTCATCAGCAGCAGCAGCATCATCATCAAGACCATCATCAGCATCATCACCAACAGCATCAGCATCAGCATCAGCATCAGCATCATCAACAACATCAAAAGCGCCAGCCTTAACATCAATTACAGCAGCATCTGACGTCATAGCATCCTCATCCCGTCAGTTTGCATCATGGCTTGAACCTCGGTCTCCGAGCGCAGCCGAGGCCAGCAGGGCAGATTTGCGACCGACCCCCGCACTTGCTTGCACTCGGCATAGGAGAAGCGAACTCTACCAACAGACCGACGGCAACGCTTTTCTATCCTTTTCGCCATTGGGGGACCACCTTCGAAGGCCGTCTTGGTTGTCGCCACCGCTGGAGTTGCATCAGGATCCTGCTCAGATCGCATTCCAGGGAGAGGTCTGGAGAGTAGCGGCGTCATGCGGCATCGGCATTATGAACGTCCTTGAGTTCCCCTGGCACGCATAGTGCAGCCTGTCATCGGTGGCGCGCAAGGGTGTGGCGCGATGGGGGGGCCAACAGAGAGAGTAGCCCTCCCGCCTTTGAGAGGGCGTCTTGGAAGCCTGCGACCTCGGGCCTCGTACATTCTTAAACAACAAATGCTCATCCGGCTCCTTGTGGCTAGCCCCCTGCTTTCTCAGAGGGCCTTCGCCCCCCCGCCCTCCCCCTGCGCGGCGCGCCGCAGTCGAGAGTGCTCCTTCTGTGCTGCGAGCATGCGGGTGTGAGGGCCGCAGGCCCGGCAAGGCTGGGGCGGCCGTAAGGAGTGTGCACAGGAGGCGCCAGACCCTGGAGGATGGCTTATCTGGTGAGGGCGGCGGTGGTCGGGGGCGGAAAAGAGGGGGGTGATGACTAGGGGGGGGGGGTGGATATCATGGCGTGGGCCATGATATTTCCCCAGATTTCATGGCGCCTCTGCTTATTTCATTACGTCCCTGGCCCCCCCCGCTGGGCCGCGCACATGCCGCCGGTCATGATTTGCAACCCCCCCTCTGGGACACCCCCCTCTTGGCCGCTCCCGAGGTGGTATCCGTAACCAAGCCTGTATCCACCAGCTTCCAGACCACGTGTTCTTTGTCTAAGGATTCCTTATTCAAGCCCTCACCGTAGGATGTCATCTCGTGCTTATGTTGGGCTGTGCTTCTGTTATCGCCGATGACTGGGGTACTGCTGCGGCAGCAACCGCCACCACCGCAGCTGCTGCTGATGCTGCAGCCGGAGTATGGCTACAATAGTGTGGGTCAAGAACACGAGACCCTTGGCCAAAGGCCTAAGGCCCCACGGCGATATCCACAGTGAAGAGCGTTGCAGGGTAGAGAGCCTAAACACGAAGGACATAGCCCTCGAGCCAGCTGTACTACCAGTGCCACTGCGCCTGCTACGCTTCCACAGCTTACGCAGCCGCGCCGCAGCACTTCGACCCACTGGCGCATTGGAAGGCATTACGACACGGCTGACGGTTGGATAGTACCTCCGTGACGAAGCTCATCTTCCACGTTTCCCGAAGTTGCGTAGAAGAAAGACGTCATGTGCCGAGCGGGTACGTAAGCAATGCACACTGCACATTCCAAGAGCCCGCACGCTCGCGGGGGGCAGCGCGAAAGCGTCGCACAAGCAGGATTGCGCTGCAGCCCCGCGCTTCGTCTCCATGTGGTCGCCGGGACGGCGGCGACATCGGAGATTTCCAGGCCACTTTGCATATATGGGGCGTTCCAACAATTGTTTTGCCTTCGAGGATGAAAGGAGTTGTCATCTCTTCCGCGGCGGAAGGTTGGCGGAAGTAAAACGAGGCCGCCTCCGCCAGCGGAAGCTCGGCGGAAGGCGGCGGAAGTAAGAGATGCGCCCACAAGAGATGAAAACGTTTTGGGGTTCAGGGTTTCCGGAAACGCACATATGCGCGAAGAGCGCGTCTGTAAACTTCCCCGGGCCATTCTGCGCGGGGGGCGGCTTCGTCCGCGACCCGAATTTGCAATGGGCTGTGGGAGAACTTGGCCGACTGCGCCGACGTGCGCGCATCAGGCCACGAGGTGTGCCATGCTCTGCGTATGTCATCGTGCGTGAGATCCCTTCTGTTTTGTCGCTCAAGCGTCCGCGGCGTCAGCGAAGTGCACCCCCTGGCGCCCAACATGAAGGTCCAAGGTGCAGTCCGCAGCCGTTGGAAGCCAAGATGGGCACGGTCTTCGTCTTTCTCCCTCTTTCCTCAGCGGGCGAAGACCGGTAGAAATTTGACTTTTCCGCCGTCGGGGACGCCTGCCCCGTGGCGACTGGAAAGTTTTATGCCTCGACGTGCCACTGTAGGGGTATAAACTTTCCAGCCGCCCTGGGGTAGGCGTCCCCGACAGCGGAACAGCTTAGGTTCTGCCGCTCTTCGCCCCCCAAGAATTTCCCGCCTCCGTTTCCCCCTTCCCTTCCTCCTCGTCTTCCTCCTCGCCGTCCTCCTCGCCGTCCGTAGCCGTTTCGGCCCAGGCCGTTTTGGCCCTCGAGTGCGACGGAGGGCCCCGCCACTCGCCAGGCGCCGCCGCCTGGGCAGGCCGCCGCAGGCCCAGCCTGGGGATTGCGCCTCGGGGTGCCCCAGGCGCGGGCAGGCCGCGCAGGTGGCCGCGCATGCGCAGCCGGGAGGGCGCGACGAAGGCTCGGCAGCCCGTGGTGACGCCGCTCGGGCGAGGGACGGCGCACCTCGGCGGCGGCGCCGACGGGAGCCGCTCGAGCAGCGGCGCCGACGAGGGGTCCGCGCTGGTGTCCGGTGACGTTCAACCCAGCCCCAGCCCCATCCCCCAGCACCATCCAGGCCCCGCAGTCCCGCCACCCGGGTCAGGGGACGTGCCCCTCGAAGCCCGAAGGTTGCGGCCTATGGCCGCATCCGGGGGGAAAGTCGGCCAGTGGGACCAAGGCCACGCCCATGGGGCTGGGGGGTCAGTGCAGCGATGCTCAGGTGTCCAGCAGCCTCGGCGGCAAAGCCCCGGGGTGGTCGCTGCAGCCGGGCCAGCTGGGGCAGCTGCAGCGGCTGGGCCAGCCGTACTTCCTGCCGCTGGGCCGGCGCAGCGGCCTGCACTTCCTGTGGCTCCTGGTGGCGCTCACCTGCTGCGTCTGCGGCGCGGGGCTGGTGCTGCTGACGGCCATGCTGCGCCTGGCATTCTGGTTGGCGCCGAGGGCCAGCGAGCGCGTGATCTCGGGCCCCCAGGGCATGGTCGACGGACTGTGGGGCGGCGCGGGCGGGTCAGCTATCATGGCTTTGGCCCTCGTGGGCGCCCTCAGTTTTGCTCGCTTCCAAGTCGAACTGCAGGGGAGGTGGATCCAGTGGCTCTTGCTTGGCTTCGTCGTGATAGTTCTCTTGTCCGTCAACGCGATCAACACGGGCATCGGTTTCGTGGCCAACTATCTGACGCAGGCAATGGTAGACAAGGAGCCAGACAGTTTCTACAGGTGGCTGCAGATGTACGCGAGTTGTTTCGTGTTCGCATTGCCAGTGCTGACGATGCAGTACTACGTAAAGGCTAAGCTGGGGATTTTCTGGCGGGAGTGGCTCACATCCAGCCTGATGGCCGGGTGGATGTCGCACAGAGCCTACTACGTGCTCAACGCAAACGATGAGGAGGCTGCGGAAGGGGGTGTAGACAATCCCGACCAGCGCATCGCCCAAGATGTCGAGACTTTCACCAGCATGACGCTCGAGTACCTCATCGGCACAATCGACTCCTTGTCAATGTTCGGTATGAATATTCTCGTGCTGTGGAACATTAATCACACGCTCACGGTTGTTCTCCTCTCTTGGTCTATCGGAATGACTGCTATCATTCTCTTTCTGAGCAAGAACCTTGTGAGGGTCAACTATCGGCAGCTCAAGTTCGAGGCGGACTTCCGGTACGGTCTGGTACACGTGCGCGACAATGCTGAGTCCATCGCATTCTACAGTGGCGAGGCCTCTGAAAGATATGAAATGAACAACCGTCTCGATGCAGTGGTCGGGAACTACAACCGGCTGATCATTTGGACTGTGGGGATTTCTGTCATCAAGAGGATGTACAGCTACGGGAACGTGTTTGTCCCTTACATTGTTATGGGCCCATTTGTTCTTTCGGGGAAACTGACGTATGGTGATCCAGCTGCCTGCGGCAAGCCCTGCCACCGTGCCAGCGCAATGCTTGGCGCGCCGAGCTGTCGAGCACCGCCAAGAAGGCTGTCACATGTGGCACCTGTAGCCGCTAGGAAAAGGAGGAAGAGGTGGACAAGCAGGACGAGAAGAAGAAGGAGGTGGTGAAGGAGGATTGGGAGGAGGAGGAGAAGGAGGAGGAGGAGGAGGAAGGCATTCGCCTGTGACACTTCTCGTCCAAAGAAGGAGGAGGCGGACGTGGACGAGGAAAAGGAGAAGTATTCGTACGTAGCACCCCGCAGATGCGGATAAGAGTGAGGGGGCGGTGCGGACGTCGGCAGTCTGCGAGACTCTGGCGAAGCCCGCCGCAGGCGCCACAGTTTCGCACATTCTACAAAGAGCCCGCTGCAGGCGCCGATTTCTTCGTTAAGCCAACGTGGGTAGGTCGCGGGTGGGTCGCAAATGGGTCGCGGGTGGGTCTTTGTTGGATCGCGGGTGGGTCGCGGGTGGGTCGCGGGGTGGGTCGCCGCTGGGTCGCGGGGTGGGTCGCGGGTGGGTCACAGATGGGTCGCGGGTGGGTCGCGGGGTGGGTCGCGGGTGGGTCGCGGGGTGGGTCGCGGGTGGGTCGCGGGTGGGGTCGCGGGTGGGTCGCGGGGTGGGTCGCGGGGTGGGTCGCGGGGTGGTTCTCGGGTCGGGTCGCGGGGTGGGTCGCGGGTGGGACGACGACAACCAAAACACAACGCAACAAGCATAATCATCACCACGAATCCCCTCTTCAGCCACGCACCCAGGGACAATGAATGACCGTTCGGCCCCCTCACTCTGATTTTGGGCTTCTTGTACTGCTTTGAAGCCGTGCGGCTTCCAGAGGGGCCCAGGACGGCCCAAGGGAGTCCCAAGAAGGCCCCACCAAAGGCCGCTAATGCAGCCCAACATGGCCCCGATTGCTGCCCAAAACGGGCCAATATGGTCCCCCCAAGCGCCCAGGATTACCCAAGAGGGGCTTCAAGGAGGCCCAGCGCTACCCCTGGGGGGGGGGGCAGGAGGGGCGGGAGGCAGGTGCACGCTATTTTGGCCCCAGCTCCAGCAGGGGGGGGCAAGACGGCTCAGGGCTCCAAGAGGTGACGTCCAGTGTGCGCACGCAGGAGAAGAGGAGGAGAATAAGGTTAAACGTCCGCGTGACAGGAGGAGGAGGAGCATGAGGAGGAGCAGGAGAAGGAGGAGAAGGAGGATGAGGAGGAGGAGCAGGAGGAGGAGGGGGGGAAGAGGAGGTGGCTCGGCCCTGCGGTGGTCGATAGGCCGAGTGTAACCCCATGGGCTGCGGAGCCAGATCGACAGTCTGAAAACAGAAGTGCACTCTCAACGTTTTTTTTCCCATGACATCGGACGTGCACTCTAAACACTTGCGTATAGCAAGGCTTGTGTCTAAGAAATCGGATGTGCACGCTACATGCTGGGCATCCGCGCATCGAGTGCACCTATTTGCGACGAACCCTCGGAATATTTGGCCGTCTGGGAAGTATTTGGAAACCCTACGTGCACAACACATACTGTAGTATGACCGTATTGGGATGTCTTGGGGCCATGTTGGTCCGTTTTGAAGCCGTCTTTGCGGCCTTTAAAACCGTCTCGGGCTGAAGGAAGCCTGACAAGGCAGGAATGCCACTCAGTACAGCGGTCAAGGACAATCCGTGATTTTGACTTCTTCGGGCCCTCCTGGGGGCTCTCTCTCGGAACCCTCCTGGATCGTTTGATGGACTCCTCGGCCGTCTTGAAACCCTCTCGTAGGCTTATAAGCCTGTCTTGCGTTGACGGAAGCCTGGCTGGGCTAGGACACCAACATCACTGATACAGCCATGGAGAAAGTGTGAGTTTGATTTTTTTGGGACCTGGAGGCTCCCTTTTGGAGCCCTCTTGGGACGTGTTGAGGGCCTCTTGGGCCGTCTGGTGGCTGTCTTGGGGCCGTCTTGGAGGGATCCTGGGCCGCACTGGCGGCCTTGCTGGCCTGCTTGAGCCGTCTTGGAAGCCATCCTGGGCATCCCGGAAGCCCTGCAGACCCCTAGGGAGGCGACGGGGCGCAGAGGGAGCCCCGGGAGGGGTGGCGGTACACGCAACGGCCTGCCAGGAGAGAGGGTGGGATCTTAAGAGTACGTGTTCTTCGAAAACCTGCCAGGCTGCACGTGGCATTCGTCCACGCCTCAGCGTGCAAGGGGGCTCGGCGGCGGATTTCTCGCAGGCGAATTTCACATTCCGCATGGTGGAAGACGCACTGTCCTTCATAGCGCAGAGCATCAATGGGCTCACGGCGTGGGTCGCGGGCATTACGCGCCTAGAAGGGTTTCAGACCGCGATCGAGCAGGTTGCGGCGAACAGCGAGGGCAAGGACGTGGATCGTATAACGCGACCGGTGAGCGTAGCAGCGGCAGCGAGCAGCGAAGGCCCAGAAGTTGTGGTACGCGGCGCCGAACTTCGCACGCCTGGGACGGGCCAGCTGCTGATAAGCGCATTGAACTTCACTCTGAAGCGCGACGAGCGTCTGCTGGTCGTGGGGCCCTCGGGTTGCGGCAAGACGTCGCTCCTCCGCATGATCTGCGGCCTCTGGCAGCCGGCGGCGGGCGCTCTAGAAGCGCCCCCCGCGGGAGAGTTGTTCTTCGTGCCCCAGAAGCCATACATGATCTTGGGCAGCCTGCGGGAGCAGCTCTCGTACCCCCAGGGCGAGGGGGCGTTCAGCGACGACGAGCTGAGGCAGGCGCTCCGGGAGGTCTGCCTGGGCCACTTCGTGGAGCGCTACCCGGATCTGGCCGTCAAGCAGGACTGGGCGCGCCTGCTGTCTCTGGGGGAGCAGCAGCGTGTGTCCTTCGCCCGCGTCCTCCTCAACTCGCCAAGCGTCGCGGTGCTGGACGAGGCGTCCAGCGGCCTGGACGTGGCCACTGAGCGCAAGCTGTACGACCTCCTGGCTCAGCGGGGCACCAGCTTCATCAGCGTCGGCCACCGGCCAACCCTGAAGAGCTTCCACACCTGTGTGCTCGAGCTGCAGGGCCCACCCGCCGGCGGGTGGCAGCTGATCCCGGCGGCCAGCTACGAGTTCCGTGCTTGAGCCATGCCCCCCTTCCCCCCTTCTGGCCGCCGCAGCCCTGTGGCAGAGACGAGAACGACGGCCTTCCATGCCTCGGCCTTCAGCGTGCCAGTGCGATGGCTCGAGCCAGCTGGGGGCGCGGGCTCTGGCTCCCCCTCCCCTCCTCCCACGGGCTCCCTCCGGAGCTCACTCGGGGCACGTGCGAGGCACTCTGCCATGGAACGGGGCCAGGATCGAGCCCATCCGTCGGCCGATCAGGCCTAGCTTCTCGCCGCCCTGAGACCAGGCTAGTTCGGCTGCCCTCTCGGTGGCAAAATGAGCTCTGACGCCGACCGGGCTCCGAAACGGGCCCGGAGCTTCCCCAGGAGGCCCCCGACGGAGCGTGTGGCTGACTGCTGGAAGGCGCCCTGGGGCCGGCAGATCCCGCCCATGACCCACCTGAGTCGGGCGGGTGATAATGTGGGGTGACCTCAATCGGGGGTGGACAGAACCCCCAACAGTGACACGTCGATTAGTGAATTGTCCGTTTTCGGTTCTCGAGAGGGCGCCGTGGCCGTTGTCTTCCAGGCTTGCGCCCGCCAGGTTTGGGCCTCAGGTCGTTTTCACTAAACCACGTTTTGCTAAAGGGGGGTCTGCCCACCCCCGACATTCAATGGGGGGGTGAAGAAAAGGGTCCCAAAGGGGCACCGTGGGGCCCCCTTTGGAGGAGCCAGCAGGGGCCCAAGAAGAGCCCCCAAAGCACGCCTTCGGGGTCCTCGTCTTCACCCCCTTGTTGAGGTCCCCCCCCCCATTGCCACCCGCCCGGCTGGGCCTCTGGAGGCTTGCCGAGGACCCTTGCGGGCCTCGCAGGACCCAGAGAAAGCTTTCGATCAGGAGGGGAAGAAACACACAGACACAAGTAATCCTCGACTCTCAGAAAATATGGGAAAATATGGGCAGTGGGGGGGAAGACAAAAACCCAGAAAATATGGGAAAATATGGGGACTATTTTTATTTGTGTGTATTTATTTGTGTGTCCCAGTTCCCCTTTAGAGAAAGCTCCCGAAGGGTTCAGTCATCTGTCCTTCCCCCCGCGCGGCTGCACCGGCTGGGCCCACCATGCTCCTTCGCAGGCGTTCTAATTGTCTCCCTGCTGGCCGCCCATCAAGCGGCGTCGGCACCAGCCAGCAATCGATGGCACCAGGGCCTGTGCTCGATTGCGCCAGTCTCGACCGCGCGTCCCAGCAAACTAGAAGGAGCGCTGCTCTTGCGGCGATGTGTTCCGCCGTGTCTCTCTCGCAACAGCTCGTGCACTCGAGGCCCTCCGGGCAACAGGTGGGGCTCAGCAGCCACCCCTGAGAGATGCAGAAGTTGAGGGTCTGATCCGTTCCGCTTGGTGTTTCCTGCGTTTCCGCCCCGCCGTGCCACCGCCGCGACCGACGCTGCCGACGCCCTGGAACCCCTGCTCTCGAAGCTCCCACTCTGTAGCTTTCTGGCCCAACCCCCCGCCCGGTCCCTGCCATGCACCCGCCGCTCCCGACACCGCCGCCACTCTGGAAACTGTGTCTTTGCAGTGGAGGCCAGTCCACCAGAAACCTTCCACAAGAGACCCAACCCTCAGACCGCAGGATGTCCATTGATTCCTGGCTTGGGAGCGTCACGCTTTCCATCGCAGAACCATCGAAAGCCAAGAAACTCAGGGCACCCCGAGGCAAGCAGGGCGCTTCCTGGCATGGGGGCCCCACTGGAACCCTGGAGCTCGTCACCCGCCCTGCCCCCCGGAACTTCCCGGAGAGCCCCCCCCGCCCTGCCGTTGTTCCGCCGGGTGCCCCCGCTCGTGCACCCTCATCCCCCCTGCCCCTCGCGGGCAGAGGGCGCACGGGCGAGGTGGGCCCCGATGCATCGGGCATCAAGAGGCGCTCGTTCCGAGCATCCCGCGGGGCGCAGCAGGAGCTTCGCCCCCGCTGTTGCAGCGCCCCCTGGGATCCGACGCTGCGAATGGAATGCAACGTCTCCAAGAATCACCACCAGAGCCCTGGACTGGACCCGGTCTTCCTGCGTCATCTTCCGGGCCGGATCGATCGGTGAGTGTCCCGGGGCCCGAAATTTGGCGAACACGCCCAGTGTGAAAACTGCAACGCCCAGAGCTCAGGCCCCAGCGCAGAGTCGGGCTCAGTCCTCCTCCTCCTCCTCCTCCTCCTCCTCCTCCTCCTCGCCTCCTCCTCCTCCTCCTCCTGGCGAAGGCGGACGGTCTGGCGGCACGGGAGAGCGCCATGCTGCTGCGGAAGGCGCCGGCGGCAGCGGCGGGCGCGCGCGCTCGCAGCCGCGCGGGGGAGCTCCTGGATCGCGTGCTGGGAGGCGCCCGCGGGGGGGCGGCCCGCGCAGGGGCCGCGGGAGTCCTGGGGGACGTCGCACGTCCGTCCTTCGGGTGCACCAGCTCGAGAGAAGGAGCGCGGGGGCCATGGCCGAGGTTCCGAGGAGGGAGAGGTACCCGTGCCGCTACCCCTCGCCCGCCGTCTTCCCACTTTTGTCGGCCTCCTGGGAAGCCCTCGTCGCCAGCGCCAGATTCGCCTCGAAGTCCTGGTCAGAACGCACCCCAGGGAAGGTCTGGGGAGTGGCGGTATCGATGCCTTTTGGCATCTCCAAAGGTGCCACGTGCTGCTCTCGCTGCCGACCTTGGTCGTGGTCCATGTCGGCCGTCGCCGATTCGCGATGCTGATCAACGCATTGGCGCTGACCACGATTGACGGTGACCAAGATCGGAACGAAGTTTCCGCGTTCAGTCTTGGTCATGGTCTCTGCGTATTTCCCCTCCACTAGCGCCGACTAGCATCTGGCGATCGATGAGATAGCGCCGATTAAGCGTCGATTGGCGTCTGCTTAGCGTCGCCTAGCGTCGACCAGCCCCAGCCAGCAAGATGGTATAGTGGCCCCCACGAGTTGCCATCGAACACTCGTCGCTCGGAGAGGTCCGGGTGCCGTGAGGAAACCAACGGCGGACGATTGTGTTAACGATTTTGACCTCGAGGGGTCATTTTCGGGCCTGGGACAGGACCCGCGAGGAGGAACCGGCCCCTGGGATGGAGTGTCGAGAGTTTTGTGGGCCTGCGTCGTGAAGAAACGCACGCTGCCACTTCTTGGGAGCCGCAGGGGTTCCTTCTCGGCGCGCCCGGCGCCTGAGCCCTCGCCCGCACACGAGCGGGCAGCCGAGTGGGCTCGACTGCAGCAGGCTGGTGAGGATGCGAGGCCGCTCGGCCGCCGACGGGGTTTCCTATTTGAAATTATATTATCGAAATTCTACAATCCGTTAGAGCTCGCATATTTTATCCCTTCATATTCGATCTGATTCCATTTTGGTCTCGGTCGATTGGCCTTTCTGTGGAAAGCATGCGTGCGGGATCGGCTGTTCACTGTCGTCTTGGCAGATGCTGTCGGTTTTCTCGAATTTGCGAATTTACACAGGAGCCGAGCGCGCCGCACACCCCTGCGCGCCGCCAAGGGACAGGACCGGGCCCTGCCGGGAGCGCGCGCGGGAGGGTGCTCCGCTGCGCCGCTGGCCCCGTGGCCCGGCTCACAAACAAGAATCTTGATTCGGGGAAACGTAAGACTCGAGTAAGCCGGAACTCGGTTTGCCGACGTTTTCTGACGAGCGCGTTCTGGATTCTGACGGTCTGGATCTCGTGGGATGTTTGCAGCGGGAGCTCGCGTCAAATTCCGGATAGGGGCTCGTCGTTTTCAGGATGGCCCCGTCGGGCCCACCCGAGTCCCCCGTACCCGAGTCTTGCGTCTCCCCGATGGATCTGGGTTCAGAGAAGAGAGAAGAGCCGTGACCTGGGTTCAGAAGCGGCTTCGGGAGGAAGCCCTGGGCGTGTTTCTGCGGTGATTTTGGTGCTGCGGGCTCTTGGGTGTTCTCGGGTCGCGGGGCGGGAGGGTGCTCCTCTGCGCCGCTGGCCCCGTGGCCCGGCTCACAAACAAGAATCTTGATCTGGGTTCAGAGAAGAGAGAAGAGCCGTGACCTGGGCTCAAAAGTGGCCTCGGCAGGAGGCCCCGGGCGTGTTTCTGCGGTGATTTTGGTGCTGTGGGCTCTCGGGTGTTCTCGGGTCGCGGGGCGGCTGCCGGCAGCCGCGGCTCGTCTCGAGCAGCGCTCCCTGGCCCGACCAAGGAGCAGCGGTCCGAGGGTTACGTCGGGCCTGTCTCTCTACAGGGGGAATATTCAAAAAGTAACCA